GCATCATTTACAGATTTTGACTTCAAATACATAATCTTCCCACTTCTGCTCTGAAGTAGTGGGATTTAAGCCATGTGTCACCATTAGTGACATATGTCACCATGTGTTACCATTAGTGTCACATTAATTTATGCCAACTAATCCTGATTGGCCCATAGAGTGATTCCATATCATGGTTATTGTCAGGATTAGTGAAATGAATATGGGAGTGCAGACAGTTCTATGAGATCGCTGCTTCATGTCTTTGCATGCTTATTTAACAGGTAAAATTTGGAGTCCTATAGAAATTCTAATTTTGTGTATATGCATATGTGTGATGTGTGTTTTATGTGTGTGTGTGTGTGTGTGTGTGTGTGTGTGCGTGTATATGTGTGTTCTTGTATATGCAACTGTAGAGGCCAAAGGTTTACATCAGGTGTCTTCCTTGACAACACTCTACCTTAAATTGCAAGGGTCTCTTGCTTAAGCAGAAATTCATCTGCTGATCTGACTAGCCAAATGGATTTGGGAATTGAAGTCACTGTTTCACCTTATTTGTGGAGTCTCAATGGGATTTTATGTGGGTTTGGGGATCTGGATCTGGTCCTTATTCTTATATGACAAACACTTTAACTATTTGGTTATTTATCTAGTACTAATAGTTACATTTTTTTTTGGTCTTTTTTTGAGATAGGGTCTCCCTGTAGCCCTAGCTGGCCTGGATTCACTATGGAGATCAGGCTGGCCTTGAACTCACATAGAACCGCCTGCCTCTACCTCCCAAGTGCTGGGATTAAAGGTGTGCCCCACCATGCTTGGCTAGTAGTTACATTTTTAAGGTTGGTCTATCTTATATGTTATTAATCATAAGCTATACATGTTTGTGTCTATTTCCATAATTTAAGAATTCATTACTCCAAATTTTCATCATCAGTTAATATTTCTTTTCCTTCAGATAATAAATAGGAGAAGATATAAAGTGTTATGCTATTATGGTTTGATTCATATTTTCAGAGTCACATAATGTATTTCCTTTTGATTCGAGACTTCTTTACTCTGCCCTTTAGGTTAATATATATTCTTGTATTATTAAATATAATTGTATTGCTAACTGTATTAGTTAATTTTCTGTTGCAGGACCATGTCAACCAATAGAAGGAAGAGTTATTTTGCCAAGGTTTGAGAGGGAGAATTCATCATGGCAGGGAGGCATGGTTTCAGAGATGGCTGGAGCAGAAAGCTGAGCATGCACCTCTTCAAACAAGCACAGCAAGCAGCGTAAAAAGAATTCAGGCAAGGCCTAAAAGCTCTCTCAAAGCCTAACCCCAGTTGCATGCTTCTTCTAGCAAGGACACACCTACTAAATGTTCCTTGGCCCTCCCCACACAGTGCCAAATATTTGGAACCTGTGGGGGACCCTTATTCAAACCATCACATTCCACATCCTAGCACCCATAGGCTCATGACCATAGCATAATGCAACGTGAATTTAGTCCAACTTTAAGAGTTCCTGTTGTCCTTCATGGATGTTCTAAAGTTTTTTATGAGACTCAAAGCACACTCTTATCTATAGCCTGCTGTTAAATCAAAAGACTCATTAGGTACTTCCAACATAGAATGTTGGAAAATACACATTCCCACTTCAAAAGCAATGAATGGGGATATAGCAAGGAAATATTGGGCAAAACAGACCAAAGATGAGCTGATAGAAGACCAAATCCTGCAGCTTCATGTCTAGCTTCTGTGTTTCCAAAGGGAAAATGGCTCAGTCCCTCTGCTTTGCTGTCTTCATCATACAACTCTTTCTCCTGAGCTGGTACCACTCACCACATGCAGTTCTCCTTGGAAGATGCCTCCATTTCACAAAAATATTTCACTTTCATAGCTTCATACAATAACCTCTCAGCACCTTCTTTATGCAGAGACTCCTTTGCTGCAAGTCACCTGGCCTCAGCAGCTCTCTGAAACCATGGAAGATGAACTGATGAACCCCTACTCTTGCATTTTTCATATCTCTAAAGCAAGCACCATGTGGACATTGATAATTTAGTCTCCCAGTTTGGCATGGACTTCTACCAGCTTCATCCACAGTGGCAGAAGCTTTTCTGTGATGTGGTTTTCTAGGAGCTCTAAATCCCTCAGATTTTTCCTTTCATAAGGAAGCTTAGCTGAATGTGGTCTTGCATATCACTCAACAATCAAGAAAATATCCTATAGGCCAATTGAATGGAAGTTATTTCTTAACTGAGGTTCTGTTATACAAATGTGTCAAATTGACAACTGAAACTATATAGCACTATATAGAACTGTAACTCTCTTTCCACTGTGTGTATACTTATGTAATTCCCACCCAACACATTAGGGTTCTATCTAATTTATAGTTCTCCTACTTATTTATCTTTAAGTATGAATGTCACAGTTACCTGAAGGATAACTGGTGGGGTTGCCTAGATCAAATGACATGTGGGCACATCTGTGGAGTATTTTTATTGACTGCTAATTAATGTAGAAGGACCCAACATACTGAGGGCTGTGTCATGCATAGGTATGGGATCCTGGGCTTTACACAAAGTAGCTTAGCAGAAGTGGAATGTGCAAGCCAGTAACATTGCTCAGTGTTTTTACTTCTAGCTACTTCCTTGAGCTCCTGCCTGGAATTTCCTCAGTGCTTGATTGTGACCTGGAATTATAAGATGACTTGAACCCTTTCTTCTTCAAGTTGCTTTTGGTCATGATCTTTCTCACTGCAACAGAAAACAAGCTAAAACAGTAGTTAAGAACGCAACAGCATGAATATGCATGTGGTTAAGTTGTATTGCTTTATGTTACTCAGGTAATTGACAAATCAAGGGAATTCTGAGACAAAAAGGTTATTATATATTTAATTATACTTATTTCAAGAATGATGTTCCAGAAGTTGAGTATGTAAATGAATTGCTTGTATCAGTATTAAAAAAAGTTTTGTAAGTCTATTTAAAATAAGGTTAGGAAACATTCTTTAAATATGATTTCAAATCTTATCTAGGCTATCGTAATAATGTGTACAGTTTTTGGAACAAATCGACAGCTTTTACCTCGAAGAGAATAAGAAAAAGTTTATTCTGGAGCCAAATGAGTGGCTACCTTTCAATAACACATATTCAGGTTACCCCAAAGATCATGTTCCAATATGATAACAGTTTCATTAGTTTTTTTTTACAATAGCAGAAAAAGAGACATAAATCAAGGCAATTTAAAATATATTACTAGAAAAAAATGTAGGTGAGCTATGTGTCTGCTGTAGGTCTTAGATGCTGTGATAAAATTCTTAGCCTTTGGGTTGGTAAAAGCTAAGGGTTTTTTTTTTACATTATAAAATTATTTAATTAATAGTCAAAAGATGGATGTTAGGTCAACCATAGATATTGTTAATGAGTGGCTCTTTGGGGGTAATTTAGCGCAGTATAATTTTGATCTATATTGCATCATGCTGACTCTCCACAATCACAGTTCTAGTAAGTCAATCAACCTTGAATAGCATTTTTTAAAGATTTAATATGTGCTTTTGAGTGCATGTAGTTTCTCACAGAGGCCATAAGGAAGAGATGGATCCCGTCGAACGGGGGTGACAGGCAATTGTGAGTCACCAAACTCCAGTCATCTGCAAGAGCAGCAAGTGTTTTTTAATCACTGAGCCACCTCTGGAGTCCACAACCTCGTAAAGTCCTTAAGGCAGGTGTAGCTTTCTTTATTATGAGAACTTCAGTTCACAAGAATAAGAAAATTTCTATCATAGAATAGCTGGCAGATGAAGTATTTGAAATTTGAGACTTAAAGCTGAAAATGCCATATGTTGAAAGATACAGTTTTCACTAGTGAATTGAAATATTGAACTCTTTCATAGACCTTAGCCAACTCGCAACTGCATGCATCAAATGAAAGAAAGAAAGAAAGGTGCCTTAGTGTAAAGCAGGGGGAATTCTGCTTCAGGCCTAAGAGGCCTGAGAGGGGATTGGTGAGAAATGGTAGTCTGCTAAGTTAATACTCTGCAAAAAGGTTTTATCAGTTAGTCATGGGATGTTCAGTATGACACAGAGGTTGACAAGGAATGACTCTTTAGGGGGCGAAATAAAGCCAATGATAAACTGATAATAGACTCTGGAGATGTAGTATTCCAAATATTCCACATCACTGAAGCTGTAGTTCATTGATCAGCCTTACATGAAGCTGAATTGAATCTGCAGTGTTAAATATGAACTTCTTTTCATGGGTGAATAATATGAAACATATGTAGAAAGTCATTCTTTAAAAGACCATATAATGCTTTTCTAAATGACCTTGCCAGTTATATCATTTTATCACATAAGATAAAATTGTAAAATTAACATCATATATTAACTGAAGAGAGTGTCTTAAAATATTGTGAACACTACATCTTTTTAGTTAAGGGAAAAACATAAGTGGTATTCTGAATTCATATGAGTAATTAAAATTTGAAAACTGACAGAGATTATGTCCTCAAGACAAAGGCAATGGCATTATGATTTGATTCATGTATCCTTTTGTGTTCTAAGTTATGCATAAAGACCCCTCAAATATCTTCAGTATCATCCACAGCTAATTTAAAATTAGAATGGGCAAAGAATTTCCACATTCATAGATATGTGAACATAATAAGTAGTTCAAAGGTATATTATTAATAATACACAATCTTGTTAAAATGACCTACCTGCACAGTATTGGGAAGGTAGGTTATGTTTAATAACTTGTGGCAATTAACATTTTTGTAATAACTTCTAATCTTCCAACACACATCAGTATATTTATGCAGAGACACTACACTCTGTAAATGGTAAGAATCTAAGTATTAGACTGTTGAATTTTTCATAAAGGAAAAGTTTTATAAACCATACAATAATGACTACTGATGGCTTTCAGAAACGAGTTATGTACACAGTTTGACATTACAGGTTAAAATTTGTCTAAATTGGTGACATACAATGAATTTTAAGATTAAAAGAGACAGCTAAAATTTATTCTGGATTCATATTTGATTTATCATTTTCTTTATGGCATTCTTAATATCTTTATTTCTTAGTGTATAAATGGCAGGATTCAGGAGAGGCGTGACTACTGTGTAAAACACTGCAAGAAACTTGTCCACCCAAGTGATGCTGACTGGCCACAGAAAGATGAAAATGCAGGGCCCAAAGAACAGCACAACCACTATGATATGGGATGTACAGGTAGAAAGTGCCTTTGATCCACCACCTTTAGAGTGAAGGAGAACAGTAAATAGAATGTATGTATAAGAAATTAGCAAGAGAATGAAGGAAGTAGATGCTAAAACACCACTGTCAGCATTTATCAGGCTTCCCAGAGTATCAGTATTCATGCAGGCTAATTTTAACACCAGAGGAATGTCACAGAAAAAGCTGTCTACCACTCTAGATCCACAAAAAGGCAAGTCCAAAATCAGGACCAGTTGACTAATGGCATGTACCAAGCCAATTATCCATGATATCAAAACTAGCCAGATACACTTCTGTCTGTCCATGATGCTGGAATAATGGAGTGGCTTACAGATGGCCACATAGCGGTCATAGGCCATAGTTACAAGAAGCACCATCTCACCCCCTGCAAAGATATGCACACAGAGGATCTGGCTCATACAGCCACCAAAAGAAATGATTTTCTTTTCTTGCAGGAGGTCTGTAGTCATTTTGGGTGTGGTTACAGATGAAAGACAGAAGTCAATGAAGGAGAGATTAGCTAACAGAAAGTACATGGGAGAGTGGAGATGGTGGTCAGTGACGATTAAGAGCACAACGAAGAGGTTGCCCAGAACAATCATTAGATAGAGAGTGGAAAATGGCAGGAACAGCAAGAGCTGCAGTTTCTTTGAGGTACAAAGTCCCTGAAAAATAAACTCAGATACCACAGACTGGTTCACTTCTTCCATTTAGCACACTGTGTTCTAATGAAGTGCAAGAGACCGATGAACTCAGAACTCCTGGAATAGAAACAAGAACATAATCATATAAGCAGAAAAAAAATACTAATTGAAATGCAAGAATTATATCAAACCTAAACCTGTATTAACCTGTTTTCCTGTTGTATCATTTCTACTTTGAGAAAAATAGAACAGCCATAAAACAAAGATAATCACAATGTATCAGAGTAAGTTAAATGGCCATGAATAGCATTCTTCTACAAATTGGGCATCTTGGAATTGTAATATTGCAGAAATATATTGTATGTTGTGAGCATGCAAAATTACTTTAAAGTGTCCAAATATTATTTGTAAGTGAAAACTTCTGTAATAATTTTGGTAAACACACAGTTAAAAAGTACAAATTGAAAATTCACTGTAAAATTACTATGGAGCCAAAACATATGCTATCCTAAAATGGAAAAGTATTCTTAAACTGGTGGTTATGATAAAAAATGAAAGCAAAATAATTAGTTTGTGTTGTACTCACCCTACAGGAATTGCTTAATAAATCAGGCTCTCCATTTATGATAATATTTTCTCTCAAAATTATCTTAAGTTTGAATTTGTGTATAATTTGTTTTCTGTTTTGACAAGTGCAGACAAGAGTGTTCTCACTTAATTGTGGCTTATATATACCCCAAAAACTAGTGTCTATTCTGGAAAATTTCCAGTTTTGCGTCGTAAACAGGACCAAGTATTAGAAAGAGTTTTACTTTCACAGTCCTTGGGGATCTTTGGCTTCCAACTTATCTGAAATGAATACATCTTGCTATACTGCCTGATTTTCAGTCCTAGGTACAGTTCATCTAGGTAAAATGTTAAATAAGAATGCAGTTCTGTTGCACAATGGATAGGCATTGGACTTCTAAATGAAATAATAAAGATCACACAAAAGAAAAATACATGTTGACCAAAATGTATAAAAACTGACCCCTTGTTACATTTGTGGTATCAGTGTAAAACAGTGTGGTAATTATGAGAAATGATGAAGAGAGATTTGCAAAAAAGTAAAAAATACCCCGTTCCTGCACCTCAATAGGCCCCCATTTCTCTCATTTACCCTAACCCATCCCCTGCAGGCCTCTCTCACATTTGGGCTCCAATTCTTCACCTCAAGTTCCAGAACTAGCTTTCCAAACCAGATTAACTAATTGCCCTATCATAGAACCTTGAGTCCTCACCCAGGTGGTCCCCCACTGCCAAATTCCTAGCCTTGAGATCAGGCAGACAGACCTGCTCAACCAGGACTCTGGTAAATCAGATTAAGCTCACTGTCTCCCTACTCCATTTCTCTCCTCCATCCCCACTGTGGCCCCTGCTGGCCTCTGTCACATGCAGCTCCAGTTCCTGCACCTTGGAGGACTAGCTACCCCATTTCTCTCATCCACCCCCACCCTATCCCCTCCAGGCCTCTCTCATATGCAGGCTCCAATTCCATCATCTCAAGTCACCCTACCATAGATCCCTAGTTAGGAATTAGACAGGGCTGTCCTCTATCTCCACTTGAAACTTAAAGCTCTTGCAAGAGCAATAACACAAGAGAAGGAAATTAAAGGAGTACCAATTGGAAAAGAAGAGGTCAAATTATCCCCGTTTGCAGATGATATGATATTATACCTAAAAGATCCCCAAAATTCCACTAGAAAACTTTTAGAATTGATTAATACTTTCACTAATGTGGCAGGATACAAAATCAACCTATACAAATCAGTAGCCTTTCTATATACCAATTAAAAGGAATCAGAAAAATCAATCAAGGAAACCCTGACATTCTCAATAATCTCAAAAAATGACTTAGGAATAAATTTAACTGAAGAGATTAAAGATCTCTACAATAAAAATTTTGAAACGCTAAAGAAAAAGATGGAGACCAGGAGATGGAAAAACCTCCCATGCTCATGTATTGGTAGAATCAACAATGTGAAAACAACCATCTTACCAAAAGCAATTTATAGATTCAGTGCAATCCCAATCAATATACCACAGCATTTCAGAGAGCTTGACAAGAAACATCCTAAAATTCATATATAATTACAAAAGACCCAGATAGCCAAACTATCTTGGGCAAAAGAAGTATGTTGGGGGGATCACCATACCAGATTTCAGATTATATTACAGAGCTATAGTCATAAAAACAGCATGGTACTGGCACAAAAACAAACACATAGATCAATGGAACACAATAGAAGACCCAAAATGAGTTCATATAATTTAGCTATCTGATACTTGATGAAAGTGAAAAGAACACCCAATGGAGGAAAGACAGCATCTTCAATAAATGATGCTGGCAAAACTGGATCTCCACCTGCAGAAGAATTAAATTTGACCCTTACCTTTCACCCTGCATAAAAATCAACTTCAAAAGGATCAAAAAACCTCAATATAAAACCTGAAACTCAGAAACTGCTAGAAGAAAACATAGGCAGCACCCTCCAAGATACAGGCATAGGAAAGTACTTTCTAAAGCAAATCCCAGCTGCTCAGCCACTAAGCCCAACAATTAATAAGTGGTACCTCATTAAATTACAAAGTTTCTGTGCAGCAAAAGAAACAAACAAGGAAGGGAAGAGGAAACCCATTAAATGGAAGAAACTCTTCACCAGCTACATATGTAATAGAGGACTAATATCCAGAATATACAAAGAACTCAAAAAGAAAGAAATAGGAAATAAATGACATAATATATAGATGGGCAATAGACCTAAACAGATAGTTCTCAAACTAAGAAATAAAAATGGCTAAGAAGCACCTTAGAAGTGCTCAATATCCTTAGTAATTAGAGAAATACAGATAAAAACCACTTTAAGATTCTATCTTAGCCAAGTCAGATTGGCAAAAATCAAGAGAATGAAAGACTCCAAATGCTGGAGAGGATGTGGAGAAAGAAGAAAACTCATTCACTACCTTGGGAATATAAACTCATGCAACCACTATAGAAAGCAGTGTGGAGAACCCTCATAAAACTAAAATGAGGGGCTGGAGAAATGGCTCAGTGGTTAAGAGTACTGACTGCTCTTGCAGAGTACCTGGGTTCAATTCCAAGCACCCTGATGGTGGCTAAAAACCACTCAAAACTCCAGTTCCGGGGGAATCCGATGCATTCTTCTGACCTCTACAGGCATTGCAGGACATGGGTGTATTCATGTACATGCAGGCAATACACTCATACACATAAAATTTAAAAAATGATAAATTAAGAAAAGAAAATTAAAAGTGAACCTACCATATGATCTAGTGATAACATTCCTTGGCATATACCCAAAGGACTCATCGTACTGTAGAGATCCCTGTACATCCATGTTTGTTGCTATACTCTTCACAGTAACTAAGAAATGGAAACAACATAGTTGTCTCTCAACTTACAAATGGTTAATAAAAATGTGGTATGTCTGCTTGAATGAGTCCTACTCAGCAGTAAGAAAAAATGAAATTATGAAGTTTGCAGGTAAATGGATGGAGTTAGTGCTATTCTAAGTGAAGTAATACAAACACAGAAAAACAAGTGATGTATAGTCTCCCTCATTTTGGATCCCTTATATGTTATTATATAAATTCTGATGTAACACCAGGTAAAGGGAATGGATACATGGAGGTAAAGGAAAAGAAACAACTTGAAAGGGTGTGGTAGGGAACAAATGTTACCTGAGGGAGTTGGAAAAAGTGGGATTAGTTGGCAAGGAGGAGAGGAGGGGGGACATGCAAGGGACCATGGGGTGGGAGAGGGAGAGAAGTCAAGAGAGGAAAGATGGTGAGAGTCTGGATGTATGGGGCAGGTTAGGGATAATGGGGGCACTGTGACTAGGAAGGGAGGAGGGAAGTCAGATGGGAGGAAAAAGAGAGTGGAGGTGAGTGAATCTCCAGAGGCTAGGTAACCTGGAGGGAAGAGTAGTGCCCTAGAAGTCCTATGAGAAATGCTCATAGTGTCTGATATTTAATGCATATGCATACCTGGGAGCTTCTTGGCAGGGATGCAGTGCCAGATAGAAGAGACCTTCCTCAGAGTGACATGCATGCCACACAAAACTCACCAAAGAAGCTTCTGATTGCAACAGATAAAGCCTACTGCAGAATTTCCCATCTGGTGAGGCACAGAGAACATATATCTGGGAGATTCCCAGTATTAAATGACACATCTGCAGTTGAATCTCTGAAACTAAGACCCGTGGAACAGGCAGAATATGGGGTGGAGAGAGGGCAAATGCACCACTCAACTCTCACCAGTGAGGCGTCCTTGTACGATGCACACAGGAGTACGATGCACACAGAAGGCTACACCTGGCCAAGTTTTGGAGAATAAGAAAGTGTAGAGTGTAGGATGGGACTCCTATATGAAAGCTCAGCAAACCATGGTTAAGGGACTGTGGTTACCGCCAGCGGCGGCTGCTCCTCCATTCTCGTGGGTGCAGCTCCTTTTTTCTCACGGGCGTCGAGGCTGTTCCTCCGCTTGCCCTGGGCTGAGGCCACCCTTCTGCCTGCCCTGGGCTGAGGGCACTCTTCCACTTGCCTGGTGCTAAGGCAGCTCTTTTGCTTGCCCTGTGCTGCTTCCTGTCCTCACTGCTTCTGCCTGGTCCCGGACCCCAGGCCTGGTGAGGAGACTGTGTCAGCAGAGCCACATTCAGACACAGGAGACCAGGTTCAGTGACACAGGTCTGCTTTATTGCAGGAAGGCACAAGCTTATATGGGGTAGTGGTCCAATCACAGCACAGCAAGTAGGATATCCCATTAGCATAACAGGTTTAGCGTCCTATCAAAATACAGCAAGTAGAATACCTTATTCGCATCATCCTATTAGCATAACAGACTTAAC